GGGTCCAGCTCGGTGTGGGGACCCCCACCCCCCCCACCCCCCCCCCCCCCCCACCCCCGTGACAAAAACCTGAGTCAGCTGTTTTGTGGGTAATTCCATGTTTGGTCAAGGGTGTGTGTGTGTGTGTGTGTGTGTGTGTGTGTGTGTGTAGACTAATGTGGCAGAGTGAAACTCAAACTTATGAAATTCTGGACTCAAAACTCTTAAGGTCCTGTATTACCTGATGAACCAGAGAATTTGGTGAACAAGAGCTTTTTTTTTTTTTCTTTAAAAGCCGACTAGTAAAAAAAAAAATAATAAATAAATAGAATAAAGTGAAGCAAGCTAGCTCAGTTTCCAGAAATGATTTAAAAGAAGTATATGAAAATTTGGTTATTAAAACCCTCTACAGTATCAGAAATGTGGTTAAATAATGTCCCGAGTTAAATATAACCCCATACAACATTTAATAATCTAAGAACTAGACTCAGGAGAGTTTTAGCCATTCGTCTCTTGAAAAAGGTCTTGTTTAAACAAAAGTGTGTCACCAGCTTTCTCTGCCAGTGGGTATAATAGGAAGTGTGGCCGATGATATGAAATGATGCCCAAAATATTCAGAATGTCTGTACTTAGAGTGTTCATTAAAAATAAAAAGATACAGTAGTTTCGTAGAGAAATGCTACAGTCAGAATGTCAGAGACAAGCAGGCCTGTAATTGGTATTGAAAAAATTCACCTGCAATCGTATTAGGCAATGGAATGGGTACTCCCACACATAATTAAAACTGCAATGTTGGCATGGAAGAGGCTATTAGAAAAGAAAATGATTTTCCGGTTCCTTGGTTTTAAAAATTGTTGATGTTTTCAGAAGGAAACTTACCATGATGATAAAATACAGATTTACTTGTATATTAGTGTATAATATTTGTTCTCTAGGTTTTTCCATTTCATTTCTGGTCCCTTGTTAATACTTAAGGAACTATAATGTACTCTCTAAAAAGTCTAATGTTAGATCTTAAAAGAGAGTGGCTGACTTCCCGTTAAATAATATTCTTTCTATCATTTATACATAAGTTGTGTTATCAGACGCTGTTAAATGTCCTTATTGCGTGAATCCATGTAAGTCTCCTAGAGGAGTTCCTGGCATGAAGGAGTTCTTAAGAAATAGCCGTCCCATCCTCATGACCTTTAACCTTTAACCCATCACCTTGTGTGACCATGTCATCTGTAATGAAAGAATGTTGTGTCACTTCATCCATTGGCCACAGAGTTTATAATGAAAATTGCACTGTTTTCTAAGTAAAAAAAAGAAAAGAATAACAAGTGTTTATTTCCTTATGTGTTAATAAAGCATAGTAATTACCCGTATGAAAAAGCCTCATGATGATCATGAAGGCAGCGTGGTAGATTATGACGCAATCCGCAGTTAGTGTGGACATCATGCAGAAACACTACATTTTGTGTATAACTTGCACGTGCCGTAAATTTTTAAATGGTGGGCTGGATCATGCCATTAAACATTATAAAACACGTTGCCTTGTAGTGATCTTCTTTCCACAGAGGTTGCACGGGGCCACTAATTACCCTCAAACAGCATTGACAACTGACAGCCGCAGGTTTCTGTGCATTTTGCCCTTGGGGTCTATTTGTAGTGCTACCCATTGGAGGCGGAGTGTTGATTCCAGTAGGAGGGGTCCTGAGGATGCTGGGTTACTGAAATAAAGGCTGAATTGCACTTTTTCAAACAATTACAGTTTGAGCTATTCTTGAAAGTGAGAGGAAGAAATAGTAATGTTTTAAACTCAATGGGATATTGCTATGTTTTTCTTGGTTGCTAAATTCAATCTGGAGCCCAGTATTTCTGTTTCATACCACGGGCTCTCAAACTCAACAAACTTGCTTTCTTTTGTCTTTTCTCTGTTAAAAATGTCATCATTCAAGCTAGAACTCTCAGAGTGGTCCTTGACTTTAGAAAATTTCCATAGTTTTCTCTTTTCTCTACCAAATTTCTCTAGTTTATTTTTCCATCTATATTTCCATGTGTGACACAGTTTTGGAAAATCGTCTCTCAAGATACGGCTTTATTTTAAAAAATTATTTGCATATATTAATTATTCATAACAATGGGTTTCATTGTGTCAGTTTCAGTAACACATACGGGGCCTTTTGCTCATCTTCACCCCCATTACTTTGATTATACCTCCTTTTTCAAATGATATTTGTAGTGTATTAGTGGAAAACACTAGAACTTAATTATTTTATATCATATATCAATTTTTTTCTCATTAACTATGACACTTTCTACTCATGTTTGTGTAAAATACCGATTTCCCCTTCATGAACATAAATAAAATTACTAAAGTGACAGATAATTAAAAATAAAAATTTACCAATAGAGATGCCACCAAATATAACAATTACATTATGAAAATACAGAAATCATTTTGGAAAATTCTTTTGAAAATGATGTCTTGAATATTTTATTTTTTAGGGTCCCTTGAGCTCCTCCCCAATGCCGGTCTTCTGCTGACAAGCCCACTCTAGTGCAGGCTCCCTGGGTAAGCACAATGGCTTGAGTTCTGGATTGGGATGGCTGGTCTGTCCATCAGACAGCATTCCATAGCCCCTCCTCCCATCATCTGGCGCTTATAATCTTCCTTCCCCCTTCTCGTATAGTGTCTCGTGTGTTTTGGAAGAGGTGGTCTAAACCTCTTCATGGTTGAGCACTTCATATTCGCTTCTTCTCTGTACCTTGCAGAGCTATGTGTCTTTGTGTTCACTGCCAGTCACTGCAGAGATAAGCCTCTTACAACAACATTTGCCTACGAGTATAAACTAAATAAAGACCCTTTTGAACATCTTACTTAGAGCCAATTCACGTTGCCAAGAAGGTGTTTCTACTGGTGCAGTAGTGGCATCAATAGTTAGGGGGTAACCAACCGCTTTCTGATTGGTTTTGAGAACAGCTCTATAGTCAGTATATTATTAATATCTAGGATATACAAGCAACTAAGAACAAAAGCATCACAAAACAACTCATTACAAAAATGAGCCATAGATCTGAGGAGAGTTCTGAAAAGAAGAAATGCAAATGGCTAATAAACATTTCACCAGCCAGCAGGGCAACGAGAACCCAAATGAACCACCTTGAGGTCTCTCCTGCCAGGGTCAGAAAGGCTGTCATCAAGAAATGAAAAGGAGCAAATGTCAGTGAGGATGTCTGCAGAAGGAACCCTTTTGCTGCCCATGGGAATAATGCTCTATGGCCTTGGGAGTCTTGATACTCACTCTGTAGTCAACACCAATCTTGAACACATAGCAATCCTCCTACCTCAGTTTCCTAAATGTTAGGATAAGAAGCATTCCTCCATCACCTCTAGCTCCTTAATTTTCAAATGAGATTAATCCATTTTGGGCTGAAAATGTGGCTGAGTGTTAGGAATGTTTACTACTCTTGCAGAAGACCAAGAAGAGTTCCTGGCACCCTTGAACATAGCTCATAACTTTCTGTAACTTCACTTCCAGGTATCCAACACCCTTTATTGGCCTCTGAAGGCGCCAGGCACACACATGGTGCACCTGCACACCTGTACATGCTCATACATAAACCTAGAAGCAAACATCGTTTAAAAGATTAATAAATTAGTATTATCAATTTTTCATGCTGAGGATTGAACATAGAACCTTATACAGGGTAAACAAATGCTACCGTTGTACTAAATAGCAGCACCGACTCTTCATTCAAACTAATTAAATATGCGATTCCGCCCCATGAGTGAACTAATTAAATATCGAATTTAAGATTAAATTCTTATTTTAGTCTAATTTACTCTCCAGCTTGGTTCTTCATATATGCTTTGCTCTCAGCTTCTTCTCTAGGGCAGCAACTCCAGACCGAGGTGCTCCCAGCGTCAGGATAGAGTCTTGCTAATCTTAGCATGAAGCGAGAAACCCGAGGGAAGGAGCTGACCGGTTAGCCCAGGCCCCAGGACAGCACAGGTGAAAACCAGTTGAGCCGTTGGCCTTGCCTCTCACCAACTGCTCAGCTGGAGTGAGGCATGAGAACCAGGGGCTCCTGTTTCCTGTTTCTCTGTCTGCACTGTAGTTATGGAAGTTATGGGTGGGTGAGTGGGAGGAGTGAGCTAAACCTGAAAGGGGGGAAGGAGAGAGAGCAAATATGTGAGTTTTTCCAGGGGTACTGAAACTTTTCCCCCCTCAGGTGTCCAGGGTTACAAATAATTTGTCACATGACTGCGGGAGAATTGTCTGTATTCTGTCAATCATGTTTTAAATAAACACTGATTGGCCAAGCAGGAGGTGTAGGTGGGAAAACCAGACAGGAAGTGGAAATGATGCAAGGAGAGCAGGAGAATTCTTGGAAGGAGGAAGTTGATTGCTCCCTCTCCTGCCCAGATCACCGAAGCAGCAGGATGTGAGCTGCCCCACTGCAAAAGGTACAGAGCCACATGGCTAAAATAGATCAGAAAAATAGGTTAATCAAGATGTGAGAGTTAGCCAGTAAGAAGCCTGACCTAATGGGCCAATCAGCTTTATAACTTACGGAGTCCCTTATGTGATTTTACTTTGGGACTAAACAGCTGGGGGAACGGGCAGGACAGATACACAAAAAAACAGGCCCCACTCATGTTACAGAATGGCGCCCACGTGGATAACTGCATCCACAGAAAGCCTGAGAAAGCTTGGGAAAGACTAGAGTAAAGCATTTTGGTTTTCAGCCGTAGCAGGAAAAAAGCTGCGCTGTTTTAAAATGCCGGCTTTCCGGCCTGCCAGGGAGAACTCTGACTCTTTCAAGCAGGCAGTCCGGACTATGGAAACACTGTTGCAGCTTGTTTCCTGGCAAGGAC